TCTCTCTCATTCCCTCTCTCTCAAATAAATAAATAAAATCTTTAAAAAATAATAATAATAATTTTAATTCACAGTTTTCCTACAAATAACTCAAGGTAAAAAGACATTTAATTTCATGTCTCTGGTCAATTCATAAGACAAGGCAATTAATTAATCAGGAAAGTCGTATCCACCTCTACTGGACTGGAGAAACATCACAGAATAAATATGCAAATCCAATATCCTCATGGCTGACAAGTTTCTATTATTAAACTGCTAACGTGTTTATTTCCCCCACAATAGCTGGATTTCTGTCATGAATACGCATTGAGCCCTGCAGTTATTAGCTGTGATGACGAGGTGACAGTGAGGACACTACTTGAGAATTTGCATCTGACAGATCATTGACACACAGTCACAGTTCTTTTTTTTTCTTCTTTTCACTTAAACAGGAATCATGCAATAGGAAAGGAACTGGAGCTATTAGAGATTATTCAGGTTTAATAGCACACATCCTTTTAGCTGGCGGTTAGAACAATACACAATGTGGCAGAGTTAAACAGAGGCATCAATTATGCTCTCAGACCTGTTAATATTTTTGACAATATTTAAATAGCACATCCCTTCAGGGCATGGCTTTTTTGCCCTCTCAGTTACACACCTGTCAAGTGTTTAATCTGCCAAAGGGAAACAGTTTGATTTCTAAGGGCAGTCTTAATACTGAAGAAGCAAATTGGAAAAATTACGCATTACTGAATAGAAGTAATGAGAAGGATCTGAGGGGGAAAAATAGTCAGCTTAATTCAACATGGCATGTCAGCATCTGTCATTAATGCAACAATATGATCACGTTCTCCAATATGCTGCATTTACCTCAGGCTTTTCAATTATTCACTCCTTTCACTTTCTAAAATGTAGGAGAGTAATGGTAAAGTTGGAGGACTCAAATTTGTATTACCAATACTAAAAAAGATGGAGACACTAACTTGTACCCATTGTGCATATAAAATTACATATCTGAAAACACAACTCAGGTAAAAGAATATAAATAAAAGCTAGCCACTGGTCAGATTGGTGTAGCTACTAGTTTAAAAGCACAAAACAAATTTCACTCCTAGGTTCATTAATTAAATATTAAATTATAAATATTAACAAATTAACAGGTAGTAAACTACATAGAATATCTAATTCTAACATGGTAAGTCTATAATATTTATGTTTAAACTTTAAAACAGAAAATAATACAAGGTTTTGAAATGTAGTATAGTCATACAAGAAAAACACGGTTCAACAAAGGTAACTGAGTCAGTAAGAATGAAGACTAAAGTGAAGAGTCACAGAAACTATGAGAGATATCGATGGTTTTCACCAAAATTGAACTCCTGACCTCTAGGGGCCGAGTTTCTATCCTCAGGAAAAAAAAAGACGATGACAACGATGAGAGACAGGCTGCAGAATCACAAGAGGGGAAAGACTCTGCCTTGGGAGCCAAGAAACCCGAGTTCCAGTTCTGGCTCTGCCCTTATTATAAACAAGTCACTCAAACTCACTAAGTAGTTGCAATAAACAGGGTGTGAGCCAGCTGGTTTTCTTGGTCCCTTTCAGTATCTGAAAAGGTGACCAACTAGCCAAAAGTCCAAAGACATGTGAGACATGCCTAGAGAATGCCCAAACCTCACAATGTACCAAGTCTTGAAATATATCAACATCTATCACTAATACTGTACTTGGTCACAGACTACCTGGCTTGATAACATTATGCTCAAGGGTTTCCAAGGAGATTTCAGCTGAATCACATGGGACCCAAAGTTTTAGAGCCCATATCCTACTTCCATTTGGAAATGGTAAAACAAGGTAAACTTATGTCTCCCCTGCTTTCAGGACTAGAAGGGGTATTTCCAGTTATCTCTTTAGTGGTATTTCCTAACACACTAGCACTTTTTGTTTCAACTTTTCCTTTCATTCTAATCATATTTTCACATGATCTAATAAGGGCTCCCCTTATTCATCTATTCAACTTCTCCACTCTCTCTGAAAAACCAGATAATCTTCCACATCATAATTACACTTATATTCAGAACATTGATCTCTCCAAACTCTTGTCAATTCATTCTAAAAAGGAGTACCTAAAACCAATCTTTTCAATAAGTTGCAAAAAAAAAAAAAAAACCCAAACACAACTACATGTAACAAAAACAACTCTTTTTCTTAATTCACGATCACAATTTTTAAAATCATTAAGTAAAAATTCACTAGAGAAAAATATTTTTAAAAATTCCTTATTTTTTGCTACCAAAATATCTAGATTAAGAAGTTATGTGCGTTAAACAAATTCCTTCTCTATTGCTACTATTTGTTCTTTTTGCATTTGGCACATTTTTTTTAATTGGAGCTATTCTTTCACTGAATTATGAAACTAGTCTTCAAATTCATTTTTAACCTTTTAAGGCAGAATATTTGTTAGCAAGTCATCCATAGTGAGTAAATTAATGCTAAAAACATTAGAATGAGAACTAACTTAGATTGAAGGCATAAATGAGATTGACTTCAAGCCTTGTAAGGATAACAACCATTTTAAAAACATTTTTTTAAAAACCTGAGAAATGTGATTAAATTAAGTTAGTTCAAAGAGCATCTAACTTGAGTGTTTGTTCTGTCATTGCAATGTTTCAATTTTAATATAAATGCTAGGAAATTTTAATGCTCTTAATTTTTACAGGAAAAAAAACAGTGTTACATTTAGAAGTTCTAATGTTTATCACCATCTGATGCTGTCATTGGAAGCAATTGCTACTTACACTCTTTTAAGAAGTGAGAATTGCAATTTCTCTAACTGATGACAATGTAATTATTTCTTTTACTGTCAAAATAGAGGTGATTTCCCTTCCTCACACACATGATTGCACATGCAGATCCAGGCTTATCTGAAATTTTATAAGCGTGCTGAATGTCTGAATCTGAATGCACAAGATCACGTGAACAATGAGCCTTAGCGGGGATGTAAACCAAGCCTACAGCCATCTACCCTAAACTTATTTTTATCATCCCCATATCCTGTAGGGACTCACACTTCAGCATACACACAGCTTTCAATGCAATGTCATATCATCTACAATATACAGCAACAACCATTACAAAAATAACTGGGCGAGGGGAGTCACAGTGAATCTGAATGTCTCATTTGGAGGTTTAAATGACTTCATTAACTATTCATTAACACATACAAAAATCAGCCTTTCAGAAAAACGCAAGACTCCACAAGATCTATGCCATGCCATGAACACCGGCTTTGGGAGAATCGTGTCCTACCTGCTCTTTCAGCTGCTGTACGGAAGTCTGAAGGTTCAGAATCTGACTGAAGAGCGGGCTCTGCAAGACTGACTTGAGAAGGTTCAGCTTGTCTTCATTGGCTACGTCTCCACGTTCTCGCAGCTTGGCTTGCAAGCGCTCTGCTGCCTGCAGGGCTCGATTTTTGTCTAAACCAAAGAGCAGCACTGGTCATTAACAGGACTCAAGAGACACACATCAAACCCCGCTTACAGAATAGAAATCCTAAAACTATTCCTTTCGAGAGCATAAAATTGACTCAGAGAAAAAAGGACTGTAACATGTCCCTATGAATAGGTCCCTCAGACCCCGGAGTCTCTGGTGAGAGAGTCTGTCTGAAAGCAGAGAACTGGTTACAGTATACGCCACATGCAAGCAACTGTTGCTCCAACTCAGATGGCGTGTATTTGAATTCCAACGCCAGCTGTCAACTCTTTTATATAAAAACTATTGAAAACCAAACACTTCGTGATCTTGTAAATGCTGATATATTCACTTTTCAAAAAATCTTATTTACATTGAAGAAAAATTAGAAATATAACTCACTAACAAGTGGATGTGGATGATGTCACTGATGAGTCATAACATCCAAAATACAATTTCATATATCAAGGAACAAACATTCTATACTTGAGAATCTACTTGAAAATATATCACAACAATGTATAACCCTTCAAAAACACTTCTTAATACTTTAAATGTCTTTCCCCAAAATTAAATAGCATGTCTATATATGCATCAAACCAAAATAATTCAAATATTTATTGATCACCTTATATATCAGGCATAAAAGTTGCAAAAGTAAGTATTGTGAGTAAGTGTATCCCTAATAATCCTAGCATCTTACATGCGTGTTTCCACCAGATGGTGATTTTCTATGACAAATCACAGTTAAAAACATCTCCCTAAAACTCTCACTCTCTCACAAGTGAACCCAAATTCGTTTCAAAGGAATGAAGACCATTCAAATATATGTTCTAACAGATTCATCATGGTAATAAGGCCATCTATTAACATTCATTTGCCATATTACAGTAATCAAAGAGTGGGAATTATCACCACAGACACTTTTTATAGAACCAAATGTGGGATGACATAGAAATGGGGAAATTAAGGCATGAATTAACATTGACCATGAGTTCACATGCATTTAAACAAACAAAATTTACTCATCTGCACAATTTTTATTTATTATTTATTTATTTAGAGAGAGAGAGAGAGAGAGCACGAATGGGGAGAGGGAGAGAGAGAGAATCTTAAGCAGGCTCCAAGCCCAGCACAGAGCTCAATGCGGGGCTCAATCTCACGACCCTGAGATCATGACCTGAGCAGAAATCAAGAGTTGAATGCTTAACCAACTGAGCTATCAAGGCGCCCCATCATAAGCACAATTTTAAAAGTAAATAATGTTAACGACATGAGAATTTTATTCTGGGTCTTATTTCCCATGGTATCTCAGAATACAAATCTAGTATTAATTTCCACGTCCATTCTTGGAAGGTGTACACATAAGTAATAACTTACAAAATAAAGATTGGAAGGTGACAGTTTCAATAATTCTCTATTTCCCCTTTGCTGTCCACTTTCTTATGAGGAACTCTGCTTTGTAGACTAGTAGTAGTCTTTGTGGCATGGGACTTTAGTATAAAATGGGGGATGAAGGTAACACACACCCATGTACTTTTATCATGCACATTGTACCAGGAAGAAAAGTCAGAGTAATGATCCCCACCATCACAAAAACAGCTCCTTTTCCTTTTCCTTCCACCTACTCTCATCCTGCTTCCCAAAACACGCAGGTATCAAGGCACCAGCCACAATCATCAAGGCACCAAGGTGAAATCCAGATACCTTCCAGTAGTCATACCCAAAACTTCCAGGGAAAACGTGAGGCATTAGGCCACCAGGAGAGGGATGGGTGTACTGATATGCCTGGAACTAGTTCTATAAACCAGCTCCTCTAAAACTAAAGAGCAGGGGAAAAAGATTAACATGTGAATTTGGGTACTTCAACCTACATTATCTCATGTAAAATCAAACTGCCTTAAATCATCACTGAAGTTTGTCAGCCTAAATGTTTATTATTGTTATGGTTCATCATCAACTTAAAAGCAAAGTTCAGTAGTATTTCAACTGCCACAAATAAAGAAGGCAATGAGCTTCTTTCAGTATTAAAAATACTGTTAACCTTTCTGGTGCTGTCCACAAACACCCATTAACCAGAAGTGGGTCCATAAATTAGAATAAGGTTTACATTAAACTTCATTAAAACTCATAATTGGTAGAACATTTCATATGTCTTTATCTTGTGCTTCAAATGGTTTGTTTTTGTAACACTTCAGATTAAATCATCCAAATATAGAAACATATTTCCCTGCTATTATGCTAATGGATAAAAACTTTTAAAAACTAAGCTACCAGATGAAATCCTGCCATGTAGAAAAACCATTTCAAAGATCCCAATGGAAAAAGTTTTGATTCTTAGAAAAATAAGAAGGAATAGGTCTTACCTATAGTTTCTAACATTTTTTTCCGAAGTTCAGTGTTCTTCACTACAATGATTTTAAACAGCAACTAAAACAGAACTCTGGGAAGAAAAGAAATAAAATGGAATGGTTATGTTTTATCACAACATTAAAACTATATACTCTAAAAAGTACTTGATGCTACCATAATTCCTTTGACCATTAAAATCTTGTTGATTTAACTTAAAATAGCTTTTTTAATATGCAAAAAAAAAAAGGAATCATTTTAGGACTTACTCAAAATTATCTTATATTTGCAAGTAATACTTGCATAGTAAGGTAAAAATATACGATCTGTTTTAGATAAGATGGCAGATGTATCCAAAATACTTCTTTAAGAACTTCTCAACACAGACCACTATAATCTCAGATTCACGTACAGATTCTCACCCACAGAGTAAGGAACTTACTTGACTGTGCATGAGAAATTCAGTAGGCAGAAACATTGAAACGTAAAAAGCAGATGTGATCCTTCCCTTGACTGCTCACAGTCCTAACTGGGGAGACCATACACACATACCAATTAGAAACGAGCTATGACACTCGTGCAGGATGTGAACCACGGGGAACTAATACATTAAATCAAGGATGAAAAACTGAATAAAAACATAATGTTAAATGAAGGAAGGGTTTTCAAAGGTTTTCAAAATACCCTCCTGACTATAATATTCTCTTCTCCCTCATTCAAAATAAACCTTCTCAACTCCTTCGACTCAAACGGATTCATCTTTCTCTGATAATACTTATCCAGACTCTTTAAAGTACCAGCTACAGATTTCCAATGACAGTGTCCAAATCACTAACCATACTTAATCTTTGCTGTCCAACAATTTATATATCCTCTCCCTAGTCACACCCATCCCTTGCCTTGCAGGAAAACCTCAGTCATTGCTTCAGTGGCGGGAAAAAGGTCACACCCAATCTCCTCACTTTTGAAAGACAAAATAGGATTTGTCTGAGAAGGAGCAGTTGCCCTTGTTGTCTCTTTAACAGAAAATGCATCTGGGACAAAAGGAAATCGTGATGTATATGAGTAGATGCACTGACTATCCATCAATGCCTGTGATTAGCTCTGTGTAATAACAGAGAACAGTTCTTGTTGACTTTCCTTATCCTGATTTAGAATACACTATTTAAAACATCAACTCCATTTGAAATAGTCAAACAACTCTATTACTGGCACTTGTTTTATAAAATGCCCTGGTGTCAAGAAAAGGGCACCAGCTCTAACTTGGAATTGAAACCTAAATAACAGTGTAGGTATGGGCAAAGGGCCATACCATCTGAACCTTAGTTTCCTAGAAAACTTACTCATTGAGTATATTGCAATAAATGAGAAAGAGTATATGAATTTCCAGATCGTAGTATAACTCACACTGTAAAATATATATTCAGAATTAACACTGAGCCCATACAGATGTGCATTTCAATGTCAGGCATTGCATGGTTTCATGGGGAAAAATACAGGGAGATCTTTAAAATAAACTAGTCATATTTTTATTCTTATTGACAAGGACACTTCATAAGATAGTATACTATTAGGTCCCCCTCAAAAAATTACTAACTTCTGACAGTTAACAAATAAAAGTAAAGATACCCCAATAAAAGGACGGTCTGTAACTGATATATGCCCAGCAGGAAGAATGCTAGCAATGGAAGAACATAACTTAGGGAGTCTGATCACCTGAAGGAACATTTCAGCTGGCCCCTTTATTAGCCGCAATGCCCTGTGAAGTCACTGTCTGTCTCTCCTAAACTAGAAAACTCTAACCACAAATGAATGACATTCAAAGTTTTAGAAGGGTAAAACTATACAAATCAGTGCTTGCTAGGTACAATAAAGTCAGCTCTACCTTCTCCCCCTTTTGAAATATTAACTTGGAAAGACAAGCAATATTCATGACCTGGAGGGGGAGGTAGCCTATGGATTTAGAGACCCACTGATTTATGAGGAGTCTGCAGAGAAAGTACAGAGTAAGCAGTTCCCCACTGAGAAAAATATTGTCATCCCAAAGTTCACCTACAAGTCGGTTATGTGGAAAGAGAATTACTTTTCTTTTCCCCAGAGAAACTCTTATCATAAAGGTTTTGGTCTTTTTTTTTTTTTTCCAAAAAAAAAGGTCCATTCAACTGCGAGTCAGACATTAATTAGCTCCCACATGAGAGCTCCATTCCTCTGGATTTCAGAGATTAAAAAAAAATGAGTTTCACAGTTTCTCTTCTCTGCTCTGATGTCCGTTAAAATAAACACATGTGGCTTTTTTGAGGCTTTCCAGATTTTACAATTAGTAGCCATGACAAAGAGACAAGAGGTTAAAAAAAAAAACTGTTCCTTTTCATGCCCTATACCCCATCCCAAGGATTCAGCTCTAAGTATAAAGATACTCATTTGTAACCACAGATGTTTTGATATGGAGGGATAGAATCCACATGCATCAAACTGCATGAGTTCTCCTTCTCACCCCACCATCAACCTTCCCTCTTCACCCCCCTCAACACCGTGTGGAAACAGAAGGGTACCTGGGTGACAACAGTGGGTCATGGCCAATGGGTCAGATGTAAAGAAGATCTAATACATGTCTAAGAAATGCCAAGTTCTCAGGGCTCTTCTGGACAATTCAGGCTAGCAGTAAAGATGGTGAGTCAGAAGGGCAGCAAAGAGAGGAAATGAGATGTGGACAAGTAGCAGCACTAATGCCAGGGCAGAAGCAAGGGTGACAACAGCAAACATTCAACAGCTACCACATCCTGGGCACCACTCAAAACATATTATCCAACTAAGGCCTTTAATATTCACTTTACAAACAAGTTAACTGAGGCAATGAAAGAGTACACAACTTGCCGAGGTCATACCACCAGTATATGATGGAGCCAGATGTGGACCAGGCAGTTTGGCTCCAGAGCCAATTAACAATTTAACTTCTACAATATGCTGCCTCTCAACAGGAGGAAGATTCACCTTACCATTCTCCTTCCTCTTTCCAAGTTCAAAACTGTGTTGACTTTGCCCTACACAAGGAGAAACCAGAGGAAGAAACAGACCCAATGTGCACGAAGTCTGAATGGACTGGTGTAGACAACTTAACACAACCAACAATCCATACAAAGGTATGAACAACTCAAAACTAAGTATTTTAGAAACTATGGGTAGGTACATCAAAGAAAGATCAGTAAGTCACCATTTATATAAAGTTCATATATGTTTAAATAAATCACCTTTGAAACCCAAGATTTTAAGAAAAATCTCCAAGAAAGATAAGCCTCCTTATATTAATATTCAAAGTACATTAAAAAACATGGCTGTTATATTTCAACACAATGGAAATAGGCGTATTCAAATAGACTCAAAAATAGAGCCACTGTACACGAGCCCGTGTGGTTACTGCCCATGTACTCCTGCCTGTTGATACATCACTATGTGGGTATAGCTGAAGCTGTTACAGCAGCCGTGACGCTCACAACTACAGGACGCACACCATGAGTGGCTCCGTGACCTCAGTGCCGATGAAGCCCTAAGTGCTGGACAAGGGCAGGCTGCACACATGACATCCCGGCAGCAGGGACTCTGATCCTCACGCTCTCCACGGGATCCTCCACTGCCTCGCATATTGTTCTCTCCATCCTCCAGAGAACAACAGAGGAAGGGAGAGACTCAGGTCTTACTCAAGGTCATATAGCTCATAAGCAGAGCATAGAGTTGAATCCAACGCTGCCTGAATTCAAAGCCCACACTCACTCTATCACACACCATGCTTTCCATATTGTACTGCAAAAATCATATGGTGGACATACATTGTTGAATGAAAAAAAAAAAGGACTGTGTAAGACAATGTATTAAGTTGTTAGTATCTGTATAAAAGGGAACGGAAATACTTGTGTAAATAAAATTAATATGTACATGTTTATAAAAGCACAGACTGTTTCTGCAAGCTTTCCAAAGACACTAATAGTAGGATGTGGAGGGCTATGGGACACTAAGAGAAACATTTTGCACTGCATTTCTTTTGGGTTTTTTAATTTTTATTTTTTTAAAGATTTTATTTATTTGACAGAGAGAGAGAGAGCACAAGTAGGGGGAGCAGCAAACAGAGGGACAGGGAGAAGCATGGTCCTCACTGAGTGGGGAGCCCGATGCAGGGCTTGATCCCAGGACCCTGGGATCATGACCTCAGCTGAAGGCAGACGCTTAATCAACTCAGCCACCCAGGCGCCCTGTCTTTTGGGTTTTTTAAATTTTCTATCAATATAACATTGCCACATTTAGCAAATAAAAATACAGGATACAGAAAAATTCAAATAAATTTGTATTTTGGATAAATGAATTAATTTTTTAGTATAAGCATATCCTGTGCAATACTTGGGACATTCTTATAACTAAACACTAATTTGTTGATTATCTAAATTTCAAATTTAACCAGGCATCCATTATTTTATATGGCAACCCTACTTATGTATATATTACCTTAGGGAAAAAAATCAAATTTTAAAAATCATTTTTAATTTAAGGCCTTTATGCTTCTTGTAGAACATTAATGCAATGACAGAGTTGTCAAGTCCTTTGCAAAGCTCTAAAGATTTTATTTTTTTTATTTTTAAAGATTTTATTTATTTATTTGACAGAGAGAGAGAGACAGCGAGAGAGGGAACACAAGCAGGCAGAGTGGGAGAGGGAGAAGCAGGCTTCCCGCCAAGCAGGGAGCCCGATGCGGGGCTCAATCCCAGGACCCTGGGATCATGACCTGAGCCGAAGGCAGATGCTTAACAGCTAAGCCACCCAGGTACCCCAAAGCTCTAAAGATTTTAGCTGTGACCCAATGATTGTCCAACAACTAGTTGACAATTCCAGTGTCAGAAGGGGATAAAAATCAAGTCAAATTTGGTTTTATTTAGAAACAGGGACTGACTAATTGACTAATCGTTGTACTTTTCAACAAGTTGTACTGGTAATGTGTGGGCACAGATTGTAAGTAGTAAAGAATCAGTGCTTCAAACATAAAACAGATCATTCTGTCCAATGCAGATTATATGGCAACTAACAAGTGAAAATATGTTTTCTGCTAAAAATAACCCAGAAAGAGAAACTGTCCCAAATGCATAAAATTTTCTAGTTATCTTAAACAATTCTAACTGTAAAAGAGGTACAACTTTATTTTTTTTGTGTTAAGTTTTTATTTTAATTCCAGTTAGTTAACATACAGTGTTATATTAGTTTCAGGGGTACAATACAGTGATTCCACACATCACCCCGTGCTCACCAGGACAAGGGCACTCATTAATTGCCATCATCTATTTAACCCTTCCCTCACCCCTACCCCTCTGTTAACCATCAGTTCATTCTCTACAATTAAGAGTATGTTCCTTGATTTGTCTTTTTTTCCCTTGGCTCATTTGTTCTGTTTCTTAAATTCCACATATGAGTGAAATCATATGGTATTTATTTTTCTCTGAATTATTTCATGTAGCATTATACCCTCTAGTTCCATCCATGTCATTGCAAATGGCAAGATTTCATTCTGTTTAATGGCTGAATAATATTCCACTGTATATAGATACCACATCTTCTTTCTCCATTCATCAATCCTTGGGCTTGATGGGCTGCATCCCTACCTTGGCGATTATAAATAATGCTGCTAAAAACAGCCGGGTGGACGTGTCCCTTTAGAATTAGTGTTTTTTTGTTTTGTTTTGTTTTTTATTCTTTGGATAAATACCCAGTACTGCCATTGTTGGATGGTAAAGTTTTTCTATTTTTAACTTTTTAAGGAGCCTCCATCCTGCTTTCCACAGTGGCTGCACCTGTTTGCCTTCCCACCAACCATGCACAAGTGTTTTCTCCACATCATCACCAACACCTGTTGTTTCTTGTGTTGTTGATTTGAGCCATTCTGACAGGTGTGAGATAATATCTCATCGTAGTTTTGATTTGCATTTCCCTGATGGTGGGTGATGATGAGCATCTTTTCATGTGTCTGTTGGCCATCTGGATGTTTTCTTCTGAGAAATATCTGTTCATGTCTTCTGCACATTTTTAATTAGATTTTTTGTTTTTTAGGGTACTGAGTTTTATAAGTTCTTTATATATTTTGGATACTAACCCTTTATCAGATATGTCATCTGCAAATGTCTTCTCCCATTCCATAGGTTGCCTTTTTGTTTTGTTGATTGTTTCCTTCATTATGCAAAGCTTTTTATTTTGTTGAAGTCCCAATAGTTTACTTTTGCTTTTGTTTTCCTTGCCTCAAGAGAGATCCAGAAAAAAGTTGCTATGGCCAAAAGGGGTATACCTTTAAGTGAGTTTGCTGCAATGCTTTGTGGCTGGTCACAGTCACTCAGCATCTATTTATTGCATTTTTTTTTAAGATTTTATTTATTTATTTGACCGAGAGAGTGTGTGTGCACAAGCAGGCGGAACAGCAGGCAGAGGGAGAGGAAGAAGCAGTCTTCCCGCTGAGCAGAGAGCCGGATCAGGGGCTCGATCTCTGGACCCTGGGATCATGACCTGAGCAGAAGGCAGATGCTTAACCAACTGAGCCACCCAGGCGCCCCTATTTATTGAATTTAAATTTCACATCTGTCTCGTTCACAGCTGCCTCAGCACTACCTGAAAGTTAGACAAATGCAAGGCTGTAGTCATTTGCAGGTAGTTTGTCATAACGTCAATTGGCCATGAGAGCAAAACTTACACTTCTAATCATAATTCACAATCTAGGGAAATGTTACTGAACTAGTACTCTAAGTAAAAGAAACATCACACTATGCACCAATGTTAGTGCACTCTTCGAAAAGAAAACATTCCACCTCTTCTTAGTATCCATTCTTTTGAACTTCTCCTTCATTTCTATAGGCTTGATTCAAAAAGTATTCGTGAACAAAATTATTTTCAAGTTCATATTTATGAATCTTTCTGAATTCCTTCAATAATAACAGAATTTGTTAATTCTATTCTGTTTCCCAGAATGAAAAAAAATCAAGTATCAAATAACCTTACCTTTCCAACATACTTGAAATGCCAACTGATAGTCTTGTCCTTCTTTTATAAAACAGGAAGATAAATTACCTGCCGAAAGTAAAAAATGCTACAGGGGCCACGGGGTAAGAAAAGAACTCAAATTCTGTTAGTTACCGATTCAACAATACATGGGGCAACTACACGACCTGCATGTTGTTGGGTGGCGGAATTAGAAATAGGAAGAAACAGTCTGGGAACTCATGGGCCAAGGAAATAAAAGAAAAAGGCAAGTGAGCGGACACTTAAAAATACAAATGACAGAAGCGGGGCACCAAACTCAAACTGAAGAGAAAGGGGAAATCTACTGGGGGCAAATACCCCTGCACAGTGTCCTGAAGAACAGGTCGGAGTCACAGCAGGAATGAGGAGAGCTCCCCACGTGGAAGCAAAAGCACACAGCTCCTGGGTGTTATACGCAAACAATGAATCATGGAACACTACCTCAAAAGCTAATGATGTAATGTATGGTGATTAACATAATAATAATAATAATAATAAAAAGCACACAGCTCCTTCTGAGCACTGCAGGGAGCTTCTTATTCCTGGATTGGGAATGGAGAAAAGGAAAGTCGGAAGTGATAAGGCTAGAGATGTGGGTACAGGCTAAATTACTGAGGGCCCTGCATACCATTCTTAAGGAGTTTAGACATTTAATTTTGAAGTTTATTTTGGTGTAGTGAGTGACATGGTCAAAGTTTGTTTTAGAAACATCACTCTGGTAATGGTGTGGAAGACTATAAAAACAAGAGAAACTGGAAATAAGAAAGCCAGGTAAGAGGTATTTTCAAAAACAGACATGAAAGTGAATAAATGAAAATGGAAGTCAGATTCAAGAATGAATGAAAAGCTATAAGCAACAGGACCTGGTAATGTGGAAGTAAGGAAGATGAGTCTAGGATGAGCCCCAGGTTTCTGCTTGAGTTTATGACTGGATGGGAATACCCGTCACCAAGAGAATATAAGAAGAGGGCAATGGTATGACTGCCAGAAATAAAGTCATACCACTAAAAAAAATATATTATTCCAGATATAAAGATGTGTCCTGAGCAAGAGTTTAAAAGGCTGAGTTCTCGTACCTTACAATGCTGCTATGCACTGAACTGTATCCCCCCAAAATTCATGTTGAAGCTGTAACCTTCAATGTGATTGTATTTGAAGACAGGGCTTTTAGGATGTACTTAAGGTTAAATGAGGTCATAAGGGAATGGTCCTAATCCAATAGGACTGATGGCCTTATAAGAAGAGGAAGAGCTATCTATCTAACCTTCCTCCTTCCCTCTCTCCCCCTTTCCACAGAAAAGCCATTAAGGGCACAGTGAGAAGCTGACTATTGACAAGGCCGGAAACCAAACCCTGCTAGACCTTGATGTTCAACTTTCAGCCTCCAGGACCATGAGGAATTAAATTTGTTGTTTAAGACACCCTATCTGTGGTATTTGTTATGGTAGCCCAAAGTGACAGATACAGATTTCAACCTTCCCACTGCCCCTGCTCCAAGGAATACGCTATTACACACTATGCTACGTCCTTCTTTTCCAACCATAACCAGGAGAACAAGGGTTGGGCTCCTCACTCAAAGGAAGACAATCCAAGTGTTGACTGGAAAGGCAGAACTAGGCTAGACTCTCTCGGGAACTGAAGGAGAGAAACATTGCAAGAATAAACCGAAGATAAGTAAAGGATGAAAGGCTAAGATAAGGTACAAGCCTGATTTATGAGAGAGCAAAATAAATCAGATGAGAGAGACAGAACACAGCTGACATTGTAAGAGCGGCAGGTATTCCTTGGGGAGATCCAACATAGCCAATGAGAGTTAAACAGAATAACCGGTCCCTGAGATGCAGAGTTACTGACATCCATTCTTACAGCGAACCCCATTCTGACAGAGATAATTTGTAAGAGGCTCTTTATTCCATTCAAACACACCTAACTACCACAGCCTGCTTGGGCATAGCGCCACACTACCACATCCCACACAAACCAATCCCTTCAAGCATCCTGCTGTAGAAGTACCCTTGCTCTTTTAACTACTTCATTTGGACACTCTACTTCCAGTAAAGATCTGAGGCAGCTTACAGGCCAAGGCAAGTTTAGCAGGACCACTGAAATAATTAAGAACCTTATAGGAGGGATAGTTACATCAGAAAAACAAGGCACAGGGAAGCAGCTTCTATGGCAGGTGAATAAAATAATATGAAGTATTCAGTTTTAATCAAAGCTGGAGAAAAGCCACTAGGTTCCAACCAAACAAAACAAATCCACTGTTGAAAAAGGCCTGTGAGACCTAACTGACAAGGTTTCACTCTATCAATGAAACCACAGTAACTGTGAAAAACATTTACAAATAATTAAAATATTCCTGGCTAACAAATTTCAGTCACAGGAGAATAACAATACTTTCATTTCAAACTCCACTAGAAAAACAAGGCAAATATGCACATTAAAAATTTAAAATAATACTAAAAAAATAACAACCAGAAATGGAATCTATAATTTATAAACCAGGAAAAAAGATGCAACAGAGAATATTCAAGCAATCTAAAAGAGGCTGGGAACAGAGAAAAGAAGAAAAAAGGAAAAAGTACAGTCAACAAAAAATATAAAACAAAGGGACTAAAATAAATCCAAACACCTGTATTCACAATAAATATGAATGGGTTAGACTCACTTATTAAGAATAAATTCACAATCCAGATTTCAAAAATGAAATTGAGAGTTGAGGAATAGTTTGATATTGTTTACCTGTATTTTAAAATATATATATAATATATGTTTACCTATATATATATATATACACACATATTTTCATCATATTCAACAATGAATTAAAAGGACACATTCTAAAATCGATTACAGTAGTAGTTACTTTTAGGGGCAGACAGATGAAAATGGTAATCTCAGATCAGAGAGGGATCAAAAGGGAACTTTAGCTTTCTCTATTTTTTTAAGGAAACTGTAACTTTTAGAATGTTTTTAAAGTATATATGTAAGAAGTAAATGGGTTGAAATATTTATGGATAAAACGGTGAGATGTTTAAGATTTGCTTCCAAAAAATGGAAGAGGACAGAAGCAACAGGACTGGCCATGAACAAAAGGCTGTTAAAAATGAATGATGGAGGGGCACCTGGGTGGCTCAGTTGGTTAAGCGACTGCCTTCGGCTCAGGTCATGATCCCGGAGTTCCGGGATCGAGTCCCACATCGGGCTCCCTGCTCGGCAGGGAGTCTGCTTCTCCCTCTGACCCTCCCCCCTCTCATGTGCTTTCTCTCTCTCTCTCTCTCTCAAATAAATAAATAAAATCTTTAAAAAAAAATGAATGATGGATACATGAGGATTCTCTATAATAATAATTTATTGTAATATGTACATTATAAAACATACATTTGAAATTTTTCATAATAAAAATTAGAAAAATAACAGATGGCAGTAAACATGTGAAAATGTTAATATCTAATTACAGAGGATAGAACTAGAGATGATTAAATCATTTCCTTCTTTATAATTCACAATGTTTTTGAAATCCTATCGTTCTTCCTCGGGGGGGGGAAAAAAAGATTTCACCTCAAACTATGAATTTACTTGGGAAAAAAAAAAATTGCCATTGATAAATGCTGCCAGAAAAATAATTGGTTCAGGCTAGATTACTTAACTCCAGCAAAAGGAATTGAAATATTATGAAAAGATTTCTTCAAAAATTAGTATCTCATAAGGAATTTTCATTTTTAAAATTTTCATTTTAAAAACAAAGCTTTATTCTGATTTCCTGATGGCTACTCAGCTGCTAGTTTTACCAAGCTGTTTTAGGTAAGAGCCTTAGAAGCAGAAGCTTATGGCTCTGGATTAGCCAACTTTGTGTGAAAGAGAGAGCAGCAGGGCAGGAAGTGATAGATGACCGTAGCTGTTCTACTTCTGAAAGTACATACAGTACAAACCAAAATCCCCACCTTTGGAAATGATGGGTGAACCCAAGAGAGTACACATAAATATAAATGTTCCAATTAAGAGAAAACTTATTTATCTTTCATGTATATTCAAATAACAATTCAAAATAATGAATAGTCACATATCTAAACTAATACTATAAAATGGAGAAATGTCAAATTAATCCACAATTATGTAGACATACATAAATCAAAATCATTCCTTTGACCAAGAATCCACATACTCTAAACAAGTTTTGGTGAAAATAATATCATCTCATTCCTTTGCATAGTAATTTCCTAATAGGGAAAAAAAAAAACTACTGAATAGGAAAATACATATAATAAATAAGATGGAATATTTTATTATTGATATACTTACACAACAATATATTTATACTAACAAACATTTTCATTAAACTTATTTTTGTATTGAAAGCTACTGTCTTTTATTTTTAAGACTGTTGGCCAGATGTAAAGGGTTCATTGTCCTTTCAAAAAGTATGCACGTTTGGGCGCCTGGGTGGCTCAGATGGTTAAGCGTCTGCCTTTGGCTCAGGTCATGATCCCAGGGTCCTGGGATCGAGTTCCGCATCGGGCTCTCTGCTCCTTGGGAGCCTGCTTCTCCCTCTGCCTCTCTCTCTCTCTCTGTCTCTCATGAATGAATAAATAAAATCTTTGAAAAAAAAAAAAAAAGTATGCATATTCTGTCCTTAACTGCAGATTCCCTAAAGCACACAGACACTTACTTTATAAAGACATTTACCAGATTCATAACCACTTCCAGAATTACACACACAAATTATATTTTGTGATGCTTTTGAGTTAATATCCCCTATTTACTGCTCACACCCAGGTATGAAGTCAATGTTAGTGTTGAAAGGAACAACAAAAAACATGCAGCTCACAGACACGTTAAAGCTCACGACGGTGTGGTTACTAACAAATCAATGGTGTGTCTGGGATGAGAACCTTAGGCTGCTACTATTATTCAACTGATTATCTGAAAGGCTGAACTTTCTTTTTATTTTTTTTAAGAATTTATTTATTTATTTATTTGAGAGAGAGTGAGAAAACGAGCAAGGAAGGGGGGGGGCAGAGGCAGAGGGAAAAG